TGCATGAGATCAATAACCAGTGGGACCCCATTTTCAGTGCGAACTTGGGTTACCCTCATGCTCTCAAGATGTTGGAAATTGTGTGGCCCCACATTCATCATTTCCATCTTGATTACCCTGTTCCAGAGCTCTGTGCGGCGGATCTAAAAAATATAGTTAAGAGGAGAAAGAAAGAAGCTGCTCCAGGCTTAGACGGGTGGCGGACCACTGAAATGCAGGTTCTCCCAGATGCTTGTTTTGCGTGGTTTGCTGCTCTCTTTCGTAGGCTTGAAACAAATGATGAACCTCTGCCAAAGATTTTGTCCACAGCAAGGCAAATCATTTTAAACAAAAATGGCAGTTCCGAACCTTTGCAAAAGAGACTCATTACGCTTTTGCCTGTCATCCTCCTGGCTTACACTGGCGCGCGTTTTGTGCATCTCAAACATTGGCAAATGGTTGTCATGCCTCACCAACTGCAGGGTGGCATCCCAAAACGCCACATGGCTGCCATCCACACTCGCTTTGCCCTTTCGCTTGACCACAACCGCAATGAAAAGTGTGACCTGATTGGGGTCAAAATCGATAAAGCTAAATGCTTTGATAGGATTATCCCCTCGTATGCTGCTGCACTTATGCTTGCCTTTGGTGTCCCCAAGCGGATTGTCGTCATGTTCGTGAAAATATACCAGGACATGTCCAAGCACCTTTCCTACAAAGCCTGGGTTCAACCCCAAAGCACTCATGGCCCAAACGGTGTGGCCCAGGGCTGTTCTCTGTCACTTATTGCCATTAATGTCCATATGAAGGTGTGGGTCCACCTCTTGGATGTTCTGCCTAGTGTCACTGCCCAAGCTTTTGTTGACGATGCTTATTTGTGGACGAAACTGATTAACAAACATCACCTTGCTCAAGCTATTCGCATTACCCAGATGTGGGATGAGCTGGCCGGCCAGTCCATGAATGCATCCAAATGTGTTGTGTGGGGCTCCTCCAGTTCTGCCAGGAAAGAAGTCAAAAGTTTGTTCCCAGACATGCAATGTGCGCTCGAAATTGAGATCCTCGGTGTGCACATCCAAACGAGCAATCGCACTGCCATGCATTTCTCGGACGATAAAACCGCAAAGATTATTGCTGATGTGCGTAATATTTCCTGCCTTCCCATCTCTTGCGCTCAGAAAGCAAAAATTATAGGTGCCAAAGTGATTCCTCAGTGCGCGTATAATGCTGCCATTAACATGATCCCGGCAAGAGCCCTTGCCAGGATTCAAGGTGAAATTGTCACCTCACTGTGGAAGAACAGACCCCACTGGCGGGCAAAATTCCTCGTTTTTGCTTTTCTTTGCAAGCCGCACAGAGTTGAGCCTATGTGTGCCAGACATTATAATTCCATTCTGGATGTTTGTAGGTACCTCCAGCTTTTCCCCTGTGAAAGGTTAAGGTTCAATGATCTTCTTAAGTCTTGCCACCACAAGCACGCCATTGTTCAACGGGTTCGGGATGCCTTTGCTTTCTTTCACATAGATCTTCGCGCTGATGGCATGTTGGCGTTGGCTGGCAAGCCGCTGTGTGCCTTGCATCAGCTGGGTCAACGTGATGTGCGTCCTGTCCTCCAGCAACTTGCCAGGCACGTTTGTTACGAACAAGCTGGACTACAGAGTCGTAAGGATATTAGGAACCCTACAGGCATCCTTGACTTTTGGCTCTCAACTAGCTTTTTGCGTCATAAAGCAGCAAAGACTGAAGGGGAGATTCCGGATTCTGCCTTCTTCGAAGCACAGCTGGTTGGGTGTGTCCTCACCAATGACCGCCTTGCTGCGGCCAAGAGGGTTGAACATTCCACATGTCGTATGTGTTCAAGTTCCAAAGAATCATTGCCTCACCTTGTTAGAGAATGCACTCAAATTCGACATGATAATCCTCCACCGCCTGTCCACGAGCTGGGTGCTAACTTTGAATTGTTAGGTATTGTTGAGCATCCTGTTTCAGTTCTTCGGCATCGCTTGCAAGTTTCGGACCCCTCGGCTATCCCACCTGGTACATGGGATCCACACCAGTCCAAACAAACCTTGTGGACTGATGGGTCTGTGCAGTGGCCCACTCACTTCATGCTTTCCTGTGCAGGGTTTGCCGTAGTGAACTCTCATGGTGTTGTTGTTCATTCCGGCCATGTCCAGCATTGGAATCTTTCGAGCTACACTGCGGAATTGTGGGCTGCCATTTGGGCCTTTGCCACCGCCTCAGGTCCTATCCAGATCAGAACTGATTGCAAGAGCCTTGCCAACCACCTCAATGAGCTTGTCGGTACGGAGGACATCAGTGAGGAATGGCCGCTGAATTTTTGGTGGCAATTCGTGCTAACCCTCTTCACTGCACGCCGACAGCTGCATGCTTGTCCACTTGAATGTGTCTGGATACCTGCACACACTCTTGAGGGCACACCCGAGTACTTGCTAACACCCGTTGCAGCGGCACAGCATGGCACAACGGTGACCGACATTGTTCACAATCGCCGCGCTGACTCTGCTGCAAAGAAAGCAGCCTTAAGCAATGCTGCCATCCAACCGCGGATGTATGAAACGCTATGCTCATGCGTCAAAGAAAGGCAAGAGTGGCTTACACAATTGTCCAAGATGATCGGTACAACTGCACCACCTAGGGAGCTTGAATCTGACGATGGTGAAAACGTTGAAGCTGAGGACCCCGTCCAGCGGTTCCCTCTTCTTCCATGGCATGAAGGGCAACAGAACTACACGTGGCAGGCACATGGTTTGGACACCACAATTCCACCAGTAGGTTGGCCCAGTTCGAACATTAACTGGAAAGCCTTTGCCAACTTCCTTTGCAGCTTGAAATGGTCAACCGACCCGGGGCACAAAGTGTCCTATACCGAGCTGGCTGTGAGGCTTGTTCAACGCCGCCACAAGTTAGATCTTTTTGATGATGAATTTTTCACATTTGCCAGTTTGAGCAGTACCCTCAAGAAGTGGTGCCGTTTTTTACAGAAGAAACATGGAGGTCAAATGCTCCCTGGCGGTCATGATGCTCATGACCATCATGCGTGGGGCAAAACCATGCCGTGCGGTGTCATCCTTGGCGGACGCCCTTGGCGAGGTCACAATGAACTCCCATTTTTGGTCTCTGTGGCCGAACGTGTCACCAAGGCCAATCTTTGTGCCTGGGACTTCGCCGTCCAGGATTTTCTTTGTGATTAGTTGTTTGTTGGATCCATCTTTTGCTTGGGAGATGTCTGCACATCTCATTCTTTTCATTGGGGATTTCGAAGATCGCCTTGTGGAATGCAAGCGATCATGTGCAGAGGGCAATTGACCCTTCGTGTACGCGAGAGGCAGAAGAGGTTGTTCAATTCAATTGGGCAGGTCTATTCATCAAGAGTCTACATTGCCCGGGCTGTTGGACAAGTCCGCCAGGCAAAGAACACCTGGCGAACGCACAGAAACACCTTTGTCACTCTGAACCTTCATGAGGCTTTTGTCGTGTGAGGCATCAATGCCCAGCAATGCCCAAAAGGAACAGGATCAAAAACAGAAAAACCTCAAAAGCAAGCTCCAAACCATGCTGCACGTCACACATCCTACTGTAAAATGAACAGCCATACTTTCTGAATACGTGCCTACTTTGCTCGTCAACACCCCCAGCTCCACCAGTGTCCCAACTTTGCCGCTTGCATCCCCTAACTTGCGTAGATTGGGTGGAGCCAGGCATCCCCGAACGCCTAGGCCCCTAGAACCTGTTTTCTAGGGGCACCTGTATGGAAATGTACAGGCCTTTAGGCAGCCTATGTGTGGAACATCTGTTTTTGCACCAGGACGAATCCCGTCAACTTTCGAGAAAAGACGTCGCCCAATGGTTGGGAGCGGGTGCACCTCCTTCTCCACAGGGGGGTCATCTTTCGTCATCTCTTTCTTCACGGCGATCTCCTTCCCATCGAAGGTGAGTTCCACCACACAGCCTCGACTGGAAGAAAAGCACTGGAGTCACAGGACGTGATACCTACGGAGGGGCAAAAAGAGTGTCCGTCGGCCTGACGGGCCGTGGGCAGAAGTTCCATTTTTGTGGCTCCCTCCCCGTGACATGGTGATCAACGACCCGAACAACTCCTTAGCAGAACTGTCATGACCCACGTGATGCCTTTTGCACAACACCCACGCAGTGGCCACGGGTTGCTTGCTGCAAGGGGCCTTTGTCATTGGAGGCAAGCAACCTCTTCTTCTTGGAAAGCAGCACCTCAGCAAGTGGTCAAGACAAAGGGACCGTGGTGGACCATAGAATATAATTATAATAGAAATTACATGAAATTAATAGAATAGATTACCAGCGTGGTCAAGCTACCAGAGTTTGGGGCTGGCTCCGGGGTTGGGCCCACGCCTGTGGGTAGCTCCACGGCTCTATCCTGAGTCTAAGCCGATTGTTCTAAAGACCATATGTTTAGCTTTCCGCATCTATATAAAGCTTTCCACATTTTACGCCTTCCGCATCAAAGGCCCCACTTCGGATCTGACAGGCTCCAAACGCACCGAAACAGCCCCTCGGCCATGGTCTGATTGAAAGGGGACCGGTGGGGCGAGCCGATGTTCTCCAAACCCGATCGGTCCCTTGTGCCATCGCTTTTTGGGGCTGAGGGGTGCCAAATCCCATGAGAAAGCCGGAGTTCCTTCAATCATCTTCAATGAGCAGAATATACTTATACAGATACAAGTGTTAGGTACCGTTTCCAAAGAATGTACCATATTGCACCATTCATAGAGACCAAAATAGAACATCTGCTTCCGTATTGTCCTGCATCTCGTTCTTTTGCGGTATTCTACACTTATTCAATCCGTCCAACCTCCCCCATTGGTCCACCACAGCACCTGCCTTCCTTTTCTAAGACTTGCCCGGCCCACTTTGGGCGGAAAAGCTCAAGATATCTCTCTCGTAGAGAGGTCCCCCCAAGCTGACAGGCGTCATCTGGGTGAAACGGCGTCGCGGAGAACAGGTGAATCGAATCTGGGAGGTGATCACATCTCTTCAGAGACAAGTACCTTGGAGCTGTTGCACGCATCGGCGTCGCAAACCCCAAAATCGACAAGAATGGGCATTGAGAAATCACATCTGCCGGGCTTGGTGATTTCGATTTGACGTCCTAATCCTTGAGCTTGGTGACCCGGTGCTCCTGCAGGATGGAGCTCAAGGTGGACAAGATGTCATGGCATTGCTGGTGCATCGCCTTCTCCCTCTCCAGGTGTTCTTCGAAGTGATCTGAAAGCTCCTCCCAGTCTCCGGGGCCGGCAGGAACAGCCATCAGTCTCCATCCAATGACCCCGCACCCCAGCGGGAATGGTGGGTTCGCTCGGATCACTGACCCTAGCGGCTCCAAGCATCTTCTCAGAAGGTGCTTGGGCTGAGGAGGTACTTGGGGCCCTTCACCATGAAAATCGGGAAATCCAATTGGGATCCAATGGGCCCTACCTTACGCCGTGTTTCTGCAGGTCTTTCTACCGTGCTTCTTTGGATCTCACACCCCCCACCCGTCGCCTTGAAGCGCCGGCCGATCTCAAACCACTGCTGCTTGGGATCCATTCTCAGCCCTGAGTGGCTGGAGGTGTGTCGGGGGGGTGGGCAAGGGGGCAAAAAGGATTGCACAACTCGGATGCCCCCAAATTTACAGGCACATGGCACAAAGAATGTGGAAAAATCACTGCATGCATCGAGAAAAGCAAATTCTGATACTTAGTAAAAGGACCACGAATTCCCAAGCAGGTGGAGAATCAATATACATGCCGTGGGCATGTGCTAGCGGCTCTTCTCTCTTTCAACACTCGCAGAACAAATGGGAAAGAGCTCCCCCCCCCGCCGTCGCCCCGTCCGCTCAGCCAAACGTCCACCGCTTCCGGAAGCGGCCGAAGCCGACACCTGCGAGATCGATGGGCTCAGACTCACGTTGCTCGGCGAGACCAAGCTGAGATTGCTCGGTGCCTCTAAACGGAGTTGTCGTGCCCAAACCTTGGCACCGGTGTGCAGGTCACTGATGACTCGAATAGCCAAGGATGCTTTTAGCAGGTTTGGGTGTATGTGTGTGTGTGTGTCACACCCTGGCTCTAAGGGTTTCCACCTGTTTTACTTTTCCACCACCACCTAGATTTTCTATCCAAGGCAGGGGGCTCACGGGTCTGTTCCTGGCGTGAGCCAACGAAGCTCCAGGATCAGACTAGGATATCGAAAGAGGACGCTCTTTCAACGTACCTGCAACCTGAACTTTTGACCACGCTGTCTAATTTGCTTTGTTTGATTCCATGGTTCTTCATGCTACCTACCCCAAAAAACAGGTTTCCCGCCGCTGTGCAGCCGCTTCACCTTGCACTTGCTGTGAAACATTGATTAAACAATACTGTTTTGCGGACTTATGCGCCTTTCCGTTCCCTCACCTTCCTTCCCATCGTGGCAATTGAGTTAACTGAAAACCCAAGTTCGAAGTGTGACTCGCTCAGTCTTCCCACTCGGGTACTGGGTGTGATCCCCTTCAGTGGGGCGCCGACGCCATGCCGGAATTCACCGTTTCTCCACTTTCATAACTGATTCCACGGTTTCCATTTTATCCCTGAATTTCCTGATTTTCGAGCCGCCGGGCTATAAACGATGGACTTCCCACCAGAATCTCTGAACTTTTTCGGTATTCCCACGTCATGATATCAGGTTTGTGCATTGTGCGTTTGTCCCAACTTTTACAAATTTTAATCCGCAGCCGTTTGATCAGCTTTCACATGCTCTGCACCACTCCACAGATAGCAGGAATTGCATTGCATGCCACGAAGCTTTGGTCAACCTCTACGCCCAAAAAGGGCATAACCTGCAAGCGCGCAGGCGGTTTTTGAGAAAAAGACCCGCGTTTTCCACCGCTCGCTCTGTGCGCCGATTACGGCGTTTTGTGTGTGTCACACCCTGGCTCTAAGGGTTTCCACCTGTTTTACTTTTCCACCACCACCTAGATTTTCTATCCAAGGCAGGGGGCTCACGGGTCTGTTCCTGGCGTGAGCCAACGAAGCTCCAGGATCAGACTAGGATATCGAAAGAGGACGCTCTTTCGACGTACCTGCAACCTGAACTTTTGACCACGCTGTCTAATTTGCTTTGTTTGATTCCATAGTTCTTCATGCTACCTACCCCAAAAAACAGGTTTCCCGCCGCTGTGCAGCCGCTTCACCTTGCACTTGCTGTGAAACATTGATTAAACAATACTGTTTTGCGGACTTATGCGCCTTTCCGTTCCCTCACCTTCCTTCCCATCGTGGCAATTGAGTTAACTGAAAACCCAAGTTCGAAGTGTGTCCACACCTGTTGCACAATTCACCTCGAGTAGAATGTAGGCATTTCGCAGGGGGATGCCCGGGATTTCCATGGTCGGCATCCAACGAAGACACCATGGTTTTCCCGTGATATGAGTCAAGGACGCTCGACTCACGTACCTGCAGGCTTTTTTGAAACCTTTTCTACAGCGCTAACGAGCTTCCATCGTTTCACCCATGTTCAAACATTCAGTTCTTCTGACCCAGCACTTCTTGCGGTTGAATCAAGTCAAGGTCTACCTGCAGTAAAGTGGAACTTCGTCAACTGACTCAGCTCTTGCGAGCAGCAATCTAATGTGTGACTTTTGGAGGGGGGACACCCGAAAAGAAACCCCCGATAGAACATGTGCGCAGCATTGTGCAGCCCCCACCAAGCAAATACACATCACATCACCACTTACCTCGTTGGGGAGAGAATAACAGAGCAACACCTCCAGAATCCGGAGCAGGCAGACCTGCACATCCCAAAAACGACTGCAGAGAGTCGATTCAGGTTGGAGCACCTACCCGGTGGGAATGCCAATGGAGTCCGAGAAGAAATGACTTCAAGCTGGGAGTTCTTTCAAAGATTAGGGTCACCATGTCACCAAAATAAGGTTCCCAGCTCGCGGAAACCCGGAAAAGACTGAGAAGCTTTGATGGAGCCGATCCATCGCAAACGAAGAAAGAATGGAAAGAGGATGAAACAGGAGCACTGCACCGGACTTAGAAAACTGAACGCCTTCATAGACCAAATCGCCCTGAACCCTCAACCCTCAAATCCCTGTCGATGTGTTGTCCGTGTCGGTCTCGATGGTCACGTCGACCGACCCCGCGCCCCGTCGACCTCCCTCGCTGCCGAAGTCGCCAGAAGTTGCTCCAGCTCCGCTTGGATCTTTCGATCGTACTCGCCGAGGGCCGTCAACTCACCCTGGGGCCGCGGGCGACCGCAGCCCGACCGCAGGCGACATGGCGTTTCGGACGTTGGGATGCGGATCCGTGCGAAGGACCTTTTTAAAAAGATGCGTTGGTGAACTGCTTAGGACCACGTGTATCACGTGTGTTGTGATAAGGGCTTTCGCTGTTAAATGTCCTGTGATAATAATAAAGGTTGACCTGGGTGCGTCCTGTGTCTTGGACTGCGTAGGCCAACAAGAGCCCTGAAGGGAAAGAATATGGTCGGGCGCGCCCCTTGGTCGATCTACTTGGGCACATCTCTACGACACACTCTCCCTCTCTCTCTCTCTTGCCAAATGGAGTCGACTGTATCTGAGTGACTGTAGCTTTTAAATCGTTGGATACTCTTCTTTTTCCTGAAACTCCTTCCACCTCCACCCCTTTCACCCTTCGCACATTCATCTGTAAACCGATAAGCAAAGCTCTCGGCCGTCCCGAGGGTTGCGTCCGGACGAGGCTTCCTGCGGACGCATGGCTTCCGCTGAACGAGGGTACCCGGCATGGCCTCGTGGTTCTGACGCTTCAGCGGCTTTCGGCGAGACCATTTGTGATGCAGCTGTTCAGTGGCCTCTTGGCAGCTGGGAATCTGCCGAAAGAGTTCCAGCTGATCTTGCATCATCTGCTTCTGCTCTTTCAGCGCCTCGATGACTTCCTTGGGGCCGACGCTGTCAGTTTAGATCCTCTTCCAAACCACCTCTGGCTGGTCCAGGCTAGTTTGCAGGAGGGTCAATCCCTTCAGACGAATCCATTCCTTCATTCCCTGTTGTTTGCACCAGCCAGGCCAAGATGCAAGTGGGTCACAAAGGATACAAAGGGAAAACCATCGACAGCACCACATACTGGCGCATCTGCTTTGGTGTCGACACCCCCCCGAGTTCGCAAGGAAATTTGATGAAATCTGGCTCAGGGGCGTGGAAACAGTGGAAACAGTTGACAAGTCATATCCTTTCCGTCCCCCTCCCAGGTCCCAAGGGCCACAAGGTGCCGTCAGGCGGGTTGGACAGGCTGCCCCCCTTCCCCCATGCAGCGTGTGGACCATTCGCGGCATTTGCAACGATTTCCAGGTGCATGTGGAACACCAACACCATCCGACAGCAGATCCCATGCCACACCCACGGTGGTTTCCCCGTGAACACCGGCGAATGCTGACCACCTGCTCGCCGCCGCGGGGCGGATCGAATGATCTTCTTCAGCTCCATCACTGAATACCTGGTCATCGAGGCCACCATTAAGGGATCGGTCTTCTGGCACTTGCCCAGCTGATTGCAGAATTCCACATAGTCCACTTCACCAGAATCGTTGGTGTCCAGCACCTTCGACAACATCAACTGCACGCTTGACTCTCATTCTCATGGCTTGGAAACCGCACATGTGCGAGAGATGTCTGCACAGTTTAAGACCGTCAAAAACCACGCAGTCTTGGACAATGGTTTAACGCAATGTTTAAGGTGGTCTTGGAAAATGACCCAGTCTTGTGTCCTTTTCCAAGACCAGTCGGACAGATTCCCCCCCCAAATGCCATGGCTAAGCCCACCCAGGCACATTGAACATCGTTTGCAAGTCATCCTTTTCGACTCCGGCCCCTTGCATCACGCTGTAGAACTTCTTGTCATTGGCATATCCATCCATCATCCTTGCAACAAATGTTGGAAATTATGACAAAAAATGTGGATATGTGTTACATGTGCTGTGTTTGTGTATGTTACTGTATGAGCCGTATGAGACTATGAGAATTGTAGCGCGTGCGGTCAACAATGACAGCCAAGGGCCCCCTTGGGGCCCCAATCGAAGTCGAAAGACTGCCCTTCGCCCCCTTGATTCTTGGGGATTGTAGTGTTCGTTTTTTTAAAGAAGCGACGGCTGGTGCAAGCTTCAAATACGATCTGGTGCCGGTGCAGGCATCATAAGTGCTTTGGATTGTTTGTATGTCTTCGTCTCCACTTGTGTTATGGCCACACTTCAGTAAGGGCTATGGCCCGAATATGCAGCGAGGAAAAACAACTTTGAGATTGAAAACCAGGCCAAAGAATTTATATGTGTTTCAAGAAAGCCTATGACATCCCGTGACCAATCTCAACCCACGTGCCGCTCAGCATCTCCTCTAAAGAAAGCGCCCCGCTGCCATCCTTGTCCATCCGATCACACATCAGGGCCAACTCCACCATATTCCTTTCCCGCACTTGGTCCTTCTGCATCAACTTCTTGTCCAAGTCAGTCTGACGTGCTTCGGCAGCTTTCTCAACGATCACAGCCTCAGTCTGCGTGTCCGGGGCAAACATATTCACTCGCTTAGACTCAATGGCAGGACCACCCAATGGCATCTCAAATGGGCGTTCAATAGAGTACCCCAAACGCATCCCTACACGACTTAAGGATCTCAAATTGGGGATGGTCCAGGTACAGATCTGCGATGCTTTTAAAAAAACGTCTTATCTCTGCTAACTGTCTCGCACCGAGCCGGGCATCCCCAGGTCCTACGAGTCCAAGCCTGGCTCCCCCCCTTCAAGGAAAGAGAGCCACCCCACAGGTGGGCTAGAAAGATACCGTTTCTGGAATTCCCTTGAGTACCTAACACTTTGAGATCTATGAGCTCTTCAGCCCCCTCCAAAAACAAACAAACACACACACACTCGAGATATGGTTTGTTCGATCTGAAAGCCCCATACCACTCCCTAGCCGCTTGGTGAAAAATGGCCTTAAGAAACCTAGCATTCCAAAACACCATTTACAGTGCCTCACTGGGCCTTCTACATGCTATTTGTTCAACTCATGCGCCCCCATTTCGCTTTGCAGGGTGTTCGACTCCTGCTGAAAGTTATTCATGCTTCTTATCGTTGGCACTTCTCAAGTTTAATGCAAACATTTGTTTGCTGGACATCTTCTCACGGAAACTCTGCTCACCATGCATGCACTCAAATGAGTTGGAACGAAACAATAACATAAGGTACATGAACCACCATGAGGCAAACCAGGGGACCACAGCAACCAATCAACACTTTAACCGTTTCATCAAAGCAGGTACACAAGAAGGCGTCCCTTCTCGCATCACCAGTTGTGAGTCCGTCTCCGTTGGTCCAGGCACAAGTCAGCTTAAAGAGCCACAAGGCTCCCCGTGACGCCGAGGGCTACGAAAAAATATCACCGTCTGAAAAATATTCTATCGACCCCAGTTCCGTCCAATCCCAGCCACGAGGATGAGATTCATCACACCCAGTGAAATCGTCATCATGATACCAAACCTCAGTGAACAATAAGCTACTAGGAACAAGTGCATCGCTTCTAGTAACAAGTGCCTTACTAGTAGTAACAAGAAGCTAGTAGAAACAAGATGCTACTAGGAACAAGTGCATCGCACCGAACTTCGCCGTTCGGCCTTCGACGTCGCGGACTCTCATCATTGGTCGCCCGGTTCACCCCCGGAGGCGTGTTGCTTCACGCCGTTCGGAAGAATTCTCCCAGAAGAAAGGGGGACCAAACCATGAACTGAACCACCTGTGGGTGGGATGGGGTGGGGGGGGTGGAAAAATCCTACGCGCAGAAAGAGACGTTGACGCTCAACCTGCGGTTTACACGATTGGGTGCTTCAATATTCACCCTGGAAGTCCGAAGACGGTCGGTTGAACTCGCGGTCGAACTCGCATTTGTTCAGCGTTTTTGGTTGGGCCCGGGAGCAAGATCGGAGCGGTCCATGGCGCCGCATGCGCTAAGGGCGGCGAGATCTGACCTCGAAAGTCGAGGAATGCGCCCATCGGTGCCGATCGAAGCGATGGAGTCGTCCACGTCGCGTTCTTCGATCCGCAAAAAGAAAGAACGACGCCCCTTACAAGGGATTTCTCTCTCATGAACAATCCTTTGAATCAAGATGGGGCATGTCCAAGAAATCGTGCATGAACAATGAAGGAGTTCGCCCCCAAAGAAGTCCGTTCGACCCGCTTCTCAGAAGGAAAGGAGACGCAAAAGCCCCCATCGGTTCGGGGGCATACCCTTTTGCAAAATAGTCACTAATATGTCTATATATATATATATACATGTGTGTGTGTGTTTTTTTTTATATCTCTGTGTGTGTGGGTCCTAGACGTCAAAAACAATGAATTAAAAAACAAAGTTTGGCCTGGTGTTGTAGTCCAAAATCCTTACTGAAGTCACGGTTGTGTGGTCAAACTGTCAAACCCCTTGAATCACTGGTGGGCCAGGACTTTTGGGGTTTCACCCAATGACCCATGGACGGCCCATGGCGGCGAGCAGCCCCAGGCATCGCCCGCCACAATCTGGGAAAAGAGCGTCAAGGATGCGCGATAAACGGTGGCAAAGCCCGATGCACATTGCGGGCACGGCGAGGTGTAGTTGCTATCCTGGTCCCGAAGCGAGAAAAACCACCGATTCGGTGCAGGGGGTTCGGACGCCAACGCGTTTGACAAGCATGTTCCTCGACCTGTTTTGGGGCACTAGTTCGTTTGGTGGAGGGTGTCAGAACAGCATGCGCATTGGAAACTGGCAAACACGACCAACCATGACAAAATAATGCCAAATGCACGCAAAATACAGAGACGTCTTGGCTGACCCAACGAGCGACGGCAACAGCCGCCAGCCAGTCAGCCAGGCAGGCATGCAGGCAGTCAGGCAGAGACAGACTGTCAGAGTAACAGGCAGAAACAGGACATGTACGACCATAAGAATCCATAAGACACATATATAAGAGCAAAAAACGAAGAAAACAGACAGGGCACGACAAGGGGCAAACCAACCAAGAAGTCAAAGCAAGAAAGAAAATTGGAATCAGAAGTGGACAAACAAAGACTTGGTGGCTGCATCCGGGTCTCCATGTAGGGTATCTCCACATTCACTGGATGGATGATTTCCACCGTGACGATGGCCCACACAAAGACCACGGAGATCAACAAGATGGAGCCGAAGAAAATGGCCTTGAAGGACGTGGTCAGGCCACCTGGCCCGCTCCCGTGGGGTCCGCTCGCCGCGCGGGATCGGGACGGAGTGAAGAGGCGAAGCGAGGAGAAGCAAAGGGGAGCCGGCGCCCAAGCCATTCTTGATACTACACACACATATTATGATAATCACATATATCTATATATATATGTATAATCCGGGAGGCAGAGATAGAAGAAATGTTTCGAATGTTTCAAACAAAAGGTGCAATTTTGGTGGTTTCCAAGCAAGGCTTTAAATAGAAGAAAATGCCTTGTGCAGGAGGCGCTTTGTTGATGTTTTTTTGATGGTGTTTGGGCACTCTGAACTCCAATATCTTCTATTTGAACGGTCTTGCAAGAGAAGCAGGATTTTACAGTGAATTCTTGAAGTTTTGGATGATCTTGTCCAACATTTAGCCGGGACAGACGGTGTAAGTTAAACCCAAAAATCAGAGGACCCAGTGCACAACCCAAGATGTCCAGAATCCCGGTACAAAAGGTAAAAAAACCTCGAGTTTTTAGTTTTTTCTCAAGGTCAGATCCAGAAGACAGCAGAACAACAAGTGAAGGTCAAATAGAAGATATTGCCAAAGCAACCAAGCACATCAAATAGAAGAAATGTATATGTGATTACTTTGGTGTTACAAAATAATCTGGTAATATCTTCTATTTGAAACTGAGTGCCTGCACCAAGCAGACCTTCCCATGTTTCTGGATATTCTTGCTGTTTTGTTGTGAAAATATGTATCTATCTATGTATCTATCTATCAGATCTATTCATCAATGCCAAATAGAAGATCCAAAACAAGCATTTCAAATAGAAGATATTAGATATTAGGCTATTTAGTGGTTTTTGCAAAAGTAGCTAGAAAACATGATATAACAACTCTTTTATGCTCCGGCGAGGCCCTTTTCTTCTATTTGATGTTTTTTTTCGCGTGCACCAGAAGCAGTTTCAAATAGAATATGGAAATTCTGAATATGCGGGAATTTCTTCTATCTTTGTTTCAATCGCGGACAAATGAAATTGGTAGCTGAAGTCTCCCCCTCCGACCCAGCGAAACGTCCACGTTTCCAAGGTCGGATACGACCAGGTGCCCTGCACCTTCAATGTTCAACTCTGTAAATCCAACAATGTCTGTTCAACCAAAGTGATTGCCCTGCAATGATCAACACCTGTGAGATCTTCCCTGATCTCCCAACACCGGCACGCCCTCGTGACCACACGAAGGTCTTTTCCTATGGCTCAAGTGTCCACCCTTCCCGCCCACCTTGAGGCGGAAGTCACGGTCGATCGAAGGCATGCACGAATGCACCAACATGTGACTGGTTTCCTTTCGAAATTCGTCTTTTTCTTTTTGAAGTCGAACATGTTGGTCGGCAGCGGTGGGTCACTGCTTTCCTTCAAGCTTTGGCAAAACATTCGGGCTAGAGTCAAAGAAAACCCCACGTGAATAGGTTTTCCTATTCCTGACCCCAGTCACTTCTCCAAGTGTTCCCTCTTTGGATGACTCACGAATGCTCAGCTTGTTTCTGGCTGGACTTCATCGAGACGGCTTGGCTTTTCTCGATTTTGTCTCAACCACTGGACTCGGGTGCGAGTGTTGGCACGGCTTTTCAGGACCTGGTCTTCGTCGAACAGTTTGTAAGTTCCTATTTTGAGTACTTCCCTCAGTACTGAACTGTCCATGACTTTGGTCAGTGCGTCAGCCAGTTGAGCTCCTGTCGGAACCCATCTTATTTTTATGCCAGTGTTTAATTGTTCCGTGATCAGTTTGGCTTGCAAGAGAGTTCGGTAATCTGAACATGATGGTGTTGCATTCTTGCTTACTAGATCGTAGAGAGATTTGCCAGTCTGTCACTGTGGTTGATTCTTCTGCTTGTATGTTGTCGAGTGCTTGTTTTGTGATGCACACAGATTCGTTTGGTTCTTCCACGTTCTTATCGCACAATGTTGAAAATGCTTGTGGGGGTTTAAGGAGTGTTTTATCTCCCAGCTTCCACTCGCATGACGAATCCCGCAGCCAAGCCCAAAAAAGTTATATCCAAGAGAGCACATCGACTGCGCTTGCAAGGGACATAGCTTCGGCTGACAAAGTGCTGACAGCGACCTTCTGGATTTTCCGGGATGCCCACAAAACCGGGTTCACCTTTCCCTCGTGGTTTTCTGCAATATCTTTGTGGCATGCCATGATTAGAAGGCCTTGATGAGAGTTGTGATTCTTTTCCGAAGCAAATGATGCGTCTGAAAAAGAAACAAATCGGGTTTTATCTAATTCGATGGGTTGGTATTTGATGATCACTTCGGCATTAGCTTTGGCTTCATGGAGTGTTCTGTTGGCCTCGGGAAGGTCTTTTTACTTGGCCATTATTTATCCTTGATTGGATGACTCCAAGTCGACTACACAAATCTGGCCGGGTATTCACGGCTGCGTACAACAGGCTGCCAATGACTGCTCGAAGAGACTGTCTTTCTGCTTCTGTGATAGGATCATCAGGGGATTTTCTCCTATCATTCTTTACTTCGATTGGGCGTATATATTGAGACTGGTCCACGTGAATGGCATAGTTTTCCTTCTTTGAAATGTTCAAGCCGGTGAATGTGAACTCAGTATGCGTTTGGCTCCCAAATGGAAATTTTTGGGATAGTTGTTTTATCTTCTGGTGGAATTTTGGGGTTCCACAGTAGATTCCGTCGTCTACATGAACACCAACTAGACCGATTGTTTCCCCCTTTTGGTTTGATAACGAAAACAAACAAGCGTCCATTGGTGACGGTTTCATGCCTAGTTCTTGGAGGCCACGTGAAAGCTCTCGAAATCACAACAGGGGAGCGTCAGCTCTGCCGTAGGCTCCCTTCAAGAGCTGAACTACTTCTTGGTCTCGAAGTCCCATCGTTTTGCGCATGTCTGGAGGAGGCTCCAGCCCTAACACCCTGTCAGTGTCCGCAGTGCCTCTTACATAGGCTGTTTTCGCATCGAAAGAAGATTTTTGCCAGTGGCTTGATGCTGCATTTGTAGCAATAGGGATCTACCTAATTTTGTCAGTGTTGCGGAGTCTCTTTGGATTAGATGTAAACTGGGATCTTCATATCCAAGAACGACTAATCTGGCTTTCGGCGTCCTATTTGCATTGGTACTTGCCGTTTCGTTTGTCAAATGTGTGTTCGTTTCTCCGTCTTTCCAAGTCAAAATCCATCTGCACCGCATGATGTTTTCCGGAGGTATCTGGTGTCTAGCAATGCGTGCCACTGTGGATGTGTCCAGCCAGCTGGTGATCTCTTTCAGTTTTGCTTGCTCAAACAAAGCTCGATCTCTGGCACTGAGCGATGACAATTTGACATCTACTTTCTGTTTTTTGGAGGCAGCCGCGAGAAAAATGATAGCTTCTTCGGTGTTTCTCGAGTTGGCAAGTTGATGATATTCTTGAGAATTTAGATCTATTTCTAATTGCCAACCTTGTCCATCTTCGAGATGGAAACACTCACACTGCAGTTCGTCCTCCATTTCTACCGGTACTGGAATGTCTTCGGGTCGAACATGTTCCTCGGCTCGGGGTGTTTGCAAAAATGATGAGCTTGATTCGGGGGTTTCAGGTTCTCGATCTGGTTGTTCACTGGGTTCTTCCTGTTGCCTATTTCCCTAGATCCTTCTTGGGGTTCCGGTGTCTTTTGAACTGGTGTTGACACTTCCTGTGTCATATCTCTGACAACAGTCTCCTTCAGTTTGGACTCTTTTTCGGATGTTTCCGATTTGCCGTCGAGCTCATGTTCTTCCACTGCGCTCACTGGGCGAATCTGTTCGGGAGCAGCCTTATAGAGTCGATTTGCCATGCTCAGCCACACCACCTTGTTATCTTCTTGGAGGACTACCTTGAGGGGACCAATCCATTTTTGGTTTTCTCTCCACAACATGACCCATTCCCCTGGTAGGTACGTGTTTTTGCTTGGCCTAGTTCTCTGGAGTATTGCTCTTCTCATGGCTTGCTGGTTGTCGACTTGGCTGAAGGCTTTCCTAGCCCTTTCCCGGATTGCAAGCTCGGCGCGAAAACGCAGACCTTCTGCTGTGCCTGACTCTGCCAAAGAATGCGCTGTGCTTTCGACATCGCTGATTGTTGACCCTGAGTATTTTCGAAGTTTTCCAAAGACCAGTCTTTCTGGGGGGTACCCTCTATGTCTGCTCCATTGATTCTTCGTTTGCGTGGCGAACGCAAGACATGTTTCCAGCTTGTCATACGAGTCAATGCTTTCTTCGACGTCCATTTTGGTGAGAATTTCCTGGAGGATTCCTCCATGACGTTCTGCACGGGAGTTTTGCCAGCGTGCTTCTGGTGGAATCATTCTTTGTTAGATTCCATGCTTTTGAAGGAACTGAAGGAAATGGTCTGTCCCAAACTCTGTGGCAGAATCCAGGCAAATGAGACCTGGTGCTCCAGCCCAGGATAGCCATCCTAGGACTAGTGCTCTTTGAGCTGCTTCGGAGGTCCGACTCGGCAAACACATGGCTGTTTGAAAGGTTGTTCCATGGTCACCAAAATGATAAAAATGAAACTGCTTGCCTTCTTTATTTGTCCAGGTGACACCGTCCATACTTATAATATCTCCGAAGTCCTGCTCTTCATGAATAGCTGATGGTCGAGGGATCATGGGTCCTTTAGTTCCATGCATGTCGAGCACTTGATGTGTTCAATGGCATCTATGATGTCAGGTGCGCACTGCATGTGTTTACAAAAGGCTTGGAGTTTTGCCGAACCTGGATGGCCCAGATTCTTATGCAGCTTGAGTAGCCATCCCTTAGTTTCTGGTTTCAAGGCCATGAATTTTGGTCCATGCTTTACGCTTGTCAAGTCGATTGCTTCTCGATCTGTTTCTGCATTTGGCTCATGAGTTTCTTTTAGTCGTTTCCTGGCCTCCTCTTGTTGATCTGTCTCCCATTGAGATGTTCTTTTCCCTGTTGAGTGTTGTAGGTCTTCTTGTGGTGTTTCTTCGAATGGACCTCCTGCAGAACGGGCAAAAATGGTCATGTTGACCCTGGCTGGAGCGCACTTCCGACGCAGTTTGAGATAGGACCGTCTTTCCCAAGGTTCCCACTGGTCTTCTATTTCGATCGTTTCATACCGTCGTCGAATGCATACCATTCTTCGGAGTGGATATTCCCCAGGGCGCATTCTTTTGGTGGGACCCATCATCCTATCCGTTCCCCTACACAAGACGAGGTGTCCTATTTTGTGATTAGGGCACAATCTCTGAACTGCATTGAGAAGTTTTCCTTCCTCGATCACTCTTGGACCTACCCGAGCCGCGATTCTGTCCGCTTCGGACATGATGTCTTGCGAAGAGACAGTCGGACTTCGGAGCCTGATTTGACACGGTGAGCTTTTCTGGTCTAAGCGACCTCTTTTGGTTGGGTGATCATCGGTTTCTTGGTCGGCCACAAATGCAAGATGCACATGTCTCTTTTGATTCAAGGTCCTAGCTATTTGTCGTGCGAACTTCCGGGGGTAGAGTTCCGAGAACTCGGAGAGTGACATTCTTTTCCCGTCATGTTTTGTGGTCCCCGCAATTTGGTGATGTTCATGTTCCCCCCGACACTTGTGACTATCTAGTACATCGCAGACCTGCTTTGAGGTGGTTATCACTGTCATGGCTTTCTTGATGTGTTTCTGTGTGAGAGGCTCTTTCAGGCCTCCTGCCATGCACATGTCGAACATACACTTCCTTGCGATCGGAGCCATTGAGACAATCTTTGGATGCTGGAGAAAAAGTGACCCTCCTGGTTGCTCAAGATGAAAATGCTTGCCATTGCTTACTTGGTGTTCGAAAAGAACCCAGGCTACGCGATTCGCCAAATATCTGTCGGAGGTCACTTGCTCACACAGCTCAAGCGATCGGGCTTCATTGAACTGAGACCACTTGCACCATGGCCGGCAAACTGGAGAGTACCAGACATGCTCTGGTTGTTCTAACACCAGTTTCACAAACATATTCTTTCTTGCCGTCGGTGTGCTGAGGTCTCCCTGTTCCTTTCCGAATCGTCGTGCCTGCATGCCCAATTGATGGCATTGTCGCGTCAACTCGCTTTCTTGGGAGCACATCACTTCGAATAGAGTCACCTTGGAGTGTTTCATGGGTTTGAGGAGGTCCACAGCTTGTTTCAATTCCTGTCTCATTCTTGTGATGGGCTCACTGCACTTTGAAACATACTTCTCGGCATTAGGGACGTCGAAGTCTAGTTCTGCTCTCCCAAGGTTTTGAGCTGCGAAGCATTCGGCATTGGGTTTTGCACTCATGTTGACACCTATCCCTCGTTCGGCTCTTCCTTGACCAAGGTCCAGCTCTGGGGAGATGTCGACAGGTTGCGGAGGTGGTGGATCACCTCTTGCAGCGCTTGCTCCACATTGCTCATGCGACCCTGGAGGCCTTCGATCTCGGAGGATTGGACTCGTGCTTGAGGAATCGTGCTCGGTGCTGCCTTGCTCTTGACTGCAGTCATGGGTGGCGCCTTCACCTGCACAGGAGGTTCCATGCATTCGGCTTCCATTGCTCGAGGTCGAGAGCTTGAATTTCCTGTTCGGTTCGAATCTTGGCATAGTGCACGAACATGCGGTGTTCCTTCTTGTCGGACTCGCCGTACTTCGAGGTCACAAACTTGGTCCATGACAGGTCGGTGAATGCCTTCTCGAACGTCAGTCCCAGCTTTGCTTTGCCAAACTGGGTTTTGAGTTTGGCCATTTCGCTCACCTCCATCTCGAAGAACTCTTGGAGATCGTTGTTGGTCTCTTTCTTCTCCATGGCCTGTTGGATCCTGGAGAGCTGACCTGACAGATCGGACGGCATGATGACACTCGTGGGCGCGAAAAGCTTGATTCGGGCTTGAGAGTTCGATGCTGCTGTCCGAATGTGGTCTTGTCTGAGCCTCGGCAACCCTTTCGATCGACACCGGCGACGATTCGGGTGGCTTTGGACTTCCCTTAACACTGTCGGTCTTATCGAATGGTGTCGTGCAGCCGTGCAGCGAGGTAGTCGATCTGCGGTTTTGACACCGCTCTGCATGCTTATCGGGTCAACCTGTTTCGGTCGCTGTACCTGCTGAGCGCCTTTTGACAGACATGGCTCCTGCATCTGCACGAAACTCAATTCGTCCGGGTCTTCCCGAAGTTGGTTGATATCCAGCAAAAAAAGCTTCTTAGGGGTCTTGTGCATTTTGAGAAACCTTTTCAGTTTCTTGCTCCACACTGTCCCTTGGCTCGTGTCGATTACTGCTCCCGGCTGCTGGAGCAGGGTGCTCGAAATCAGAAAGGGTGTGTTTCCTTCTACTACTGCAATGCGAAATTTGAGATCGTGCAACGGGATGAGCACTGCTGTCCGGCTTTCAAGCGTTTGATGATTTCCAAAACGAAAAACAAGATTGCATGCAGTCCTGACTGTTTGTTTTCGAACGTCTTCTGGTAGTTGTGAAAGAAGTTCCTTCAGTTGTTCTCTACCTATGACTGTTTGAGATGCACCAAGGTCCACCACTCCTGACGTTCCGGATGGGGCAAAACAAACTTGGTCCTCAATGTTGGGACCTGGCATGTCAGGGCTTTTGCAAGCCTTTCGGACAGGCTGTTCAGGTGTGGGATCCGGCCGATGAAGGGTCCTGCGAAGACGTTCGACGATCCCCTTGGTTAGCTTGGTCTTGGCTCTTTCCCCAAACTGTTGAACTCTCATGTCAACAATACCAAAACACAAAGAAACAGGGTCCTTCTCAAGGAGGTCATTTGCAACAAACGGTAAGTCGTCGAGGTCGATCACGGTGGCCACGGATGTTGGAATCTGAGGTGGTTTCTCGTCCGTCTGAGCTCGTCTCTGCGGGCACTCTGCCTTCCAGTGTCCCTTTTGGTTGCACAAACGACAATACGAATCAGCAATGCGTTGCTGAAGTGTCTTGAAGCCTTTGCCTTTGTTGAATTTTCCTTTGAGACCCTTTTTTCCAAACCCTTTTGGCCCTGAGTTCTTGGAGCCCCAGAAGCCCCTGTTCTTTACCTTTTCTTGCAAACGCTTTCGAGCTTCCTGGTAACTTGAGTAGTAGGCCGAAAGTTCGGCGTCATCTTGAATCGTTTCGTTTACTGCACTTTCAAACTGGAGGATGAGCGCTGCATCGGGGTCTTCGGAAGCCCATTGCTCAAGGCTGTCTTCGTCCCACTGCTCTTCCGAATTTGTCCAAAAGGCGTCTTCATCTTCCTCCAGGTCTTCAGTTGCAAATGCTGAAGAGTCGTAAGTCTTCAGAGACTTGTCCTTCTTGCCAGTGGTGTATTCTTGAAAGAACGCTGAACCCGGGATACCTTGGCCATTGTAAGTTGGCCTCCACTCTAAACACCACATTCCACCAGCACTCTTTTCTTGTCTTCTGAGGACAAACGGCTGCCCCGAAGGACCACGTAGGCCTGAACTTCACGAAGGTCTATCTTCTTCGTCTCCACTTCTGTCCAAGCAACGTCCATGCGAGCCAGGAAACTGTCGGCTGATTCGTCAGTCTTCTGCTGACACCTGAACAAGGCTTTTTCCACAACCTCGTACTTCTTCTCGAAATCTACCTGGCCAAATTGTCCAGTGACAATCTCACTGATCTTCATGATCCGTGCTTTGTCTCCAGTCATGGCTTCGCTCTGGCGAAGTTCTGATTTCTGGAATGCTGTGTTGAGGATCACTCGAGTTGCCAACTCTGTGTATGTGGTCTCTGGCCAGGCTCTCAAAAGAAGCATGATCTTCTGTCGCCATTGTTCAACTGAGTCCGTCGCAGGATCAAACGAAGGAACCAGCTGTGCTAGCTGGTTTGTCACCGACTGCTCTGAACCTCCTGCTCCAGGAGTTTCCGTCGACATGTTGTCGAGCTTCCCCAAGCTCTATCCAACAAGGTAGGTCCCTCAACGGAGCGAGAGGCTCCGCTACCAATTTCAAGTGCGGACAAATGAAATTGGTAGCTGAAGTCTCCCCGTCCGACCCAGCGAAACGTCCACGTTTCCAAGGTCGGATACGACCAGGTGCCCTGCACCTTCAATGTTCAACTCTGTAAATCCAACAATGTATGTTCAACCAAAGTGATTGCCCTGCAATGATCAACACCTGTGAGATCTGCCCTGGTCTCCCAACACCGGCACGCCCTCGTGACCACACGAAGGTCTTTTCCTATGGCTCAAGTGTCCACCCTTCTCGCCCACCTTGAGGCGGAAGTCACGGTCGATCGAAGGCATGCACGAATGCACCAACATGTGACTGGTTTCCTTTCGAAATCTTTGAGTCTTGGATTATATATATATATATATATTTGTGTGTGTGCGCACATGTATGTCCAACGATTTATTGAAGTGCAGAATCAGAGAACAAAATCCCCGGAGCCCGACTCACCGTGGTCATCAAACGTTGGGTTCCAAAACGCGGGCGACGGGAGAGTCCGGTGGGATGGCTGGAGTGGAGACCCTGAAGGCGATCTCTGGGTGGCACTTGTACTGCAGGCTTGATGAAACACACACAATCACCAAAACACGACTCAATGAGGTTTTCAGGACCAGGTTTTACTGGAAAGCTCACACTTTCCTGGGTCTATCTGAGTCTGAAATCCCACACTTTGACCTGGTCACCTTTTCGAGAGGCTGGAAGTCATTCCTGCACCTGGCCGGCGGAGAATCACACGAGGATTTTTGGGATAGGGAATCTCACGGGTCGTCTGCTTGAAGAGACCTGACTATCCTTCTGCCCTTCAACTCAAAGCCACTCAGCAAGATGTAGAGCTCTGGCACGGAGATCAACAGACGCCCCGCACGGAGCAAACGGATCACCCGGAAGATCCGGAGGACGTTCAGATTCACCATTTCCGTCAGGGCCATGCCCGCCCACCCGATCCTTGGAGTCGGTGGAATCAAGTTTGAAAACGGACGGAACGTGTGGACGGACCGTGTGGACTGCAGTTTGGACGTGTTGCCCATCATCCTGACCCTCTGCAACACAGATAAGGACCAGATGTCAAGGTAGGAACCCTCGAACGCAGCAACACGTGAATCAAAAGAATACTGAAGCGTCTCAACCTGCGATTAAGTCACAGGACGATGAAGAGGTCGATGAGGTTCCATCGGTTTTGAAGAAAAAGACTTCGCTCAACATAAAGTCGTGCTACGCATTCCAGGCTATAAGCCACTTGCAGGGCCACATTGCAGCCCCACGCCCAAACAATGTGGCTACTGGCATGTGGGCATTGAAGCATATTGTTTGAATAGTCCGGGTAGCATCCTTGGCTGTCCAGGACATGACCTGACGTGACCTGGAAGGATTCTGCCATCAAAAGCATTCTGCCATCTGAGGGGATTTCAACTAGGGAGAAAATCTGTCAATGAGATCCCAGGCATCTGGCATCCTGGTTGGTCTCAAAGACGATCAAGAGGACATTGGCGAAAATAATCAATCCCATAAATGTTTCGAAGGCCTACGTCTTGACATGCATTGGCAAAAAGACACCCGCAAACGATGCTATCTAGGGAAGGTGGATTGAAAGTAGTTGCACATATATCATCATCACCATCATCACCATCACCATATCATATCATATCATATCATATCATACATGTATAATCATATATATATATATACTTTGTAGATATACGATGGAAACCACTGAAATTGTATGAAAATAACAGATACACCTCACCCATCCTCGCCAAATGCTGAGGTGCTTGATCGATCTTTCCCCATTCCAGACTGCTTTGGATGAATCGGCTACCCCCCACCATCCCCCACGTCCGGTCACCCTCATCACCCTCCCAGTACTCGGTCCCACGTCCGAAACTCGGTACTTCGTCTTCGTTTCAGACGCCGCCTGGTTCATGACCACTTTTGCGGTACAAACACGCAACCACGGCCAGATGACATGCCCATCCTCATCAAGCCAAGGCTTAGTCTCGTAGTGCCGGTAGCGCATGGATGACTCATTCTCAAGCGTCTGCAACGTTCGCCTCAGTGAACTGGCTGACTGGTCCGTTCTCAGAGTGAAGATATGTGGTTCCTGGTGGTTTTGTTACTCTTCTTCACCCATGGTATCATTCTCGCTTGCTTGCTGTTGTCGGCATGGTAGCGACCACGAGCACCACCAACTCCGCCACCACCTGCTCCTCCACCAGCACCACCAGCAGCAACAGCAGCAGCAGCATAGAGACAGACTTGCACTTCCGATTTGACAGCGGCATCTCTCTTGCCTGGCCCTCCCCTTACAAACCTTTCGTCCACCTGCCTCCTTTCGAGTTGGCATCGAGCCGCGCACCCGAGATGCGCGCCTGTTCGTCTCGGGCGGTTCGTTCGCGATCGTAGAAAACGCAAGGATCGCATGCCTGGGGGGGCAGGATTTGACGCGGCACCTCTTCTCCTATGCTGTTATATGTGTGCGTTTGGCGAGCTGGGTCGGCGTTCTTCACAGCTGCCGCGATCCAGCATTCAAGATGGGGGCGTGCATCGGTAAGTCAATACACAGCAAAACGTCAACGCACTGGCCACTGCAAGCTACAAAGCTTTGACTTGCCGCAGTAGCAGTGACTTACAAGCTAGCCACCTGCAAACAGTAAAGGCCAAGAATTTGCAAAAGCTGAGCACAAAGCAAGAGCCTTACAAGAAGCAAATGCGAAGGAAAAGCCTCAAAAATTAGCTGACAAAAGCAAAAACGACCAGCAGCCAAGCTCCAAAGCACACATAGCCAGACATCTCTCAGTGGCGCCTCTTCCTATACTTGAAGTAAGAACCCCAAAAAGCGCGCGCTATCTGGGGAAAAGCACGCACCGCGGCCGTGCCAAAACAGAATGGCACCCAGTCTTAAGCGTCCACACCAAAAAGAGCTCCCGGGGAAGGTTGGATTCCACCGACCTCATCGACCCCTTCACCGTTTCGTTGCGCGACGCCAGGCCGGCCGACAAGCTGAGGAAGCTGAGGAAGCTGAGGTCGGGAATGGAACAAAGGAGCCCTCCGACCAATCCAGGTATGATGTAAAAAACAGAAAAACCGCGGGAAGTTTGGCGAGCAATGAGGTAGTTGGATGGGCAATCAATGAGATCGCGGGATCGCAGCGGTGAAAAGCCAGATCGGGCAACAGTTTGTCTTCAAATTATGACGAGTCAACTGGTGGTTGCTCAAGGCGGCTCGATGCAGATGTTAACCAACGAAATTGCGCCAATGACTGGACATGTTGATGCGCGTAAGGCGCAGGTCCAAAAAATGAAACAAGACTTTGGCCGCTGAGTTGTTGCGCCAATTGAAGAAGGAAAAACCATGGAAAACCCATCTCGAAATTGACCCCAGCGCCGGGGTGGAGTGAGGGGGCAGCACCAAGACACCCACGGCCCGGCCAATGTGGCCGCCCCAAAGGCCCAATGGCAGCACTGGACTAATAGTCGCTCCAGAAATTTCAGACAGTGGGATTAGTAGGATCCATTTGGCAGTGGCCCACTCTTGCAGCAAGCACACTTGAGCACGCGACTCGCTCACTTGCAACACCAAGCAGCAGCCATACCAACATCAGTTTGCGACTGACCGAAACCTGGCTCCCGGCCCGTCACCCCAGGAGGTTCGCCATCCAAGGCACACCAAGTGCTCATTGCCCTCGTGGCGTTGCACTGCCATGGCCACCGATGCCGTCGTATTGGAGCGTCGCACATACTCCAGGGCCTCAAGGGGCTTCGCGAGCTTGCTCACCGGGGACGGGGACGGCAGACGGCGCGGCGCATCCATCGCAGCGGAGTGAAGGGCACCCGTGAAGGGCACCACGGGCACAGAAGGCAACTATAGCTTGAGGTGAAATGAGGCTGGTGAAGGGGGGTGGCTCACCGTGGGTGCATTCTTTTTGACCAGTGCTACCCAGCTTTCAACTTGGAATGGCTGCCATTAAGCCCTCACAATAGAAGTTTGTTGACCCCGGTCTATGCAATTATATTGTAATATCTCTATATATATATATGTGTGTGTGTGTGCCATATGCCCCTACCCATCTACCCATCCTTCAAGACCCATCCGCCGGCCGCCTCTCTTCGCCACACACCGAGCGGGGCACCGATTGGCCCCAGAAGTACCGGTGAAACGGCCACGCCACGGTGGCCAAGCGCATGCCAGGCGCCTGCCAAATGAAAAAGAAGTCTCCAAGGTCACATGGCTTCTACAAGCGCCTCCAGCAGACTGGAACCCAATAGAGCCAACTTCTCTCGACAATCCTTCTGCTCTCTCTCCCACTCTTCTTCGAAGTGTTCTGAAAGCTCCTGGACAGTCGGGCGCTTCGCCGCCACCACGGCAGGCTTCGAACTCCAACATGACGACCGTCACAGCACGGATCGTCCGCCGCACCGAGAGGTGAAGAACCGAAGGTTTCGGTGCTCATGGCATCGCCGATGTAGCTTTGCTCAAAGACCTACTACAAGGGCCCTGTATCTGGGCTTCAAGGAAGTTTTTTGTTATAGATAATAAATAAGGTCACTGGGTCCTTCGTGACACAGGGGAATTTGATGGAATTTGCATTCCCCCCATTTGCCTTGATACTCCCCGTATTGAACAGGAAGGTGCTGATGTCCAGAATCGATGTCGTCGTCAAGTCCAATCATTTCCAAGCAGGACCCCAATTCCAGCAGGACACCATGGATACTCCAAGCACGCAGGGCCACTAGAATAGCAAGGCACAGGGCCACACAGCGAGACCTGGTCCTATCAAACCTCCCCATCCGCATCCGATGGAAAACCCAAATGCCTCAAAACATGTGACACCTAAACAGCACAAAGAATTGCATGTCCAAACGAAGGAAGAGCATGGAATGAACATGTCATGTGTAAATCCCTCAAAAAAATAACAAACTCACGGGGCCACACATTTGATAGCGCGACGAGCTTTGAGTCCGGTAGTGGCACGGCCCGCCACACATTCAAGAAAACTATAGTAAACCATTCGCAATCAATAAAAATACATATTCATCGACCCAAACAGCAATAGTTCGTAGCTTCGCAGGTCATTCCCGTGAAAATTCATCCTGATTCGCAGATCATCCAAGTGCTACATCATCCTCTCCAAGCAACCAAGAGCGAAATCACACACCCCAACCCCCCCACCCCATGTCTCATCCAAGACCATCTTTGTTTGCAATTAACCTGTTGCGCTATTCCAGACTATCTTCTGACACCGGTGACAACAAAAAGTGCGCAAAAGCCTCACAAACCACTAAAATCTACTTTGCAGAGTCAACGCTCTCCCCAGTGGCCCTGCGGGTACTACGAAATGCCGTAAATACCACACAGAATTTTTTGACAATCGCGCTCTCACCATCGCGTCGCCATTGACCCCGTGAGCAAGAGAAAAACGGCATAAGCCCCGAGAGAAATTGGAAGCCCAGGTCCCTGCGGCGTTTCATGTATGTCCTTTGGAGTCGCGCTGTCCGTGCGATGGATTTCAAGAACTCCATCTTGCAGAACAAACGAAGCGGTGGGCAAAGCTTGAGTTGAGAGATGCGGCAGTCAGCCACGGCATGTCAAAATGATTCCCACTCCCAAGCCTGAACAAGCCCCTCCTACCTTCTCAGTTGCATGGGTGCTTTCGCCATGATTCACCCCAAGCTTGCGGTCACTGACCACCAAAAGAAACCCAAGTCCCCAACCAAAAAGGCTCCCCTGCGTCACCCCCTGCTTCACTCGGCGCGACGCTGCATCCACCTCTCAGGGCCTCCAAGGCACAGCCTTCGGGAGAAAGGTGCCTCAGGGGTCCGCCCAGCGAGGTCGGCCCGAACTCGGCACTGGAACTCGGCGCCGGAACTCGGCGCCGGAACTCGGCACCGCTGACAGGGCTCGTGGACATGCGTCGGCCGAGGCTCGATCAGAGACACGGCTGACAGCCCTTGTGGCCAATGGTGGTTGGAATGAGTTGGAGGTCCAAGCAGGCTGGTCAGCCAGATCGCCCTGGTAGCGATGAGCAATTAGCACCTAGCGACCTAGACTCTTGATTAGTCAGCCCCCCATGTCAAGAGGCATTACTCTCCGAATTGGGGGTTTATGATGAATCAACATGCGTGGTAGAAACGTGTCCCACCAAAAACCGGTAGTAGAAACCAGGAAGCCGGAAGCAACAAAAAGCCACAGGGATCGGTGGCTTCACCTCACTTTGGGTGCTTCATCTCATCTGTAAGTGTTGAGTCCTCATCTCATCTGCGTGGTTTGGAGCCAAAAGCTTCGTCTAGAAGTCTAGAAGCCTAGTGGTCAGACATTCCTCCAATCGAGCACATATGTTCACCGAGCTGACCCATCTGCGGACTTCTTTTAAGTAAAGAGGTTACAAGTGCAACCATCCCTTCCCAGAAACTGGTCAGTGCCAAGGCTCCTTTCGGGAGCTCGAAGCGACACAACTTTTCGCCAGTGCTGGCTTTGAAGGCATAAGCAATCCACTGGTGAAAGGCCAAGACCGTGTCCTCAGGATGGGAGATGGTGCAGTTGGCCCAAACGCTTGGAACGTTTTTGGACTAAACCCCCTTTTCTCAGGGTCCATGAGAGCTGGGGCCGCTCCAAGAAGACCCATACAGGAAGCTATCAGCCCACCTCGTCCCAAAAAAGGGCCCTTTGCCTCAAGCTGTTCCTCATTCTGCAACAAAGATCCTAATTCCTAATTGGCTCCGTGGCTCCACGAGACAAATGGGAAGTGAGTCTATCTCTACCGTGCCCAGCGACCACAACACTCGTGTAATCTTTTGTTGATGATGCAAAATGTCATGAAAACTAGGGCCGAAACACCTCCCAGGAATTCCTGGCGGTATAGTTTATAGACCTCAAGTCTCCTGCCTCATAACCCCTCCCCTACCCACCACCCCAACACTGGTTCTCCCTCACATCCAGCAGCGCGTCCAACCCGCGACCGGGCACCGACCAACCCGGTTCAACCCACGGGGGCGCCGCACCAACCGGCGACACAGCGCGGCGGAGTCACATTGTCCCACCATAGCGGAAGCATGCCGTAGTCGTTGGTCTTCTCACCTGCACCCGGAGACGGAGCGTGGACGGAGAGACGACGTCTCCAAATGGTCGTGTTTCCTGTCGGTCTCCACGACAACAAGTGCATCTGAAAAGGAAGACGAAAGAGGTGAAACATCACCCTTGGAGAATGCCCATTTGACACCTCGCCCTCCCAAGGTAGGGGTCATCTTGCACCCACCGCCCCAGAGTTCGACGTTTGCGGCGAATGTCAGGTGCTGTCCGAAAACTCCCCAACATCCAGTCGACCAGTAAAAGAATTGGTCTGACTAGGTGGCTTAAGTTCAGGAATTTCCTTCACCTTCGGTGGTGCCCAATAGTTAAGTTATGGTCGAATTAGACTTCTATTGCAGGCTCTTGATAAATGTTTCAGCTCCCCATTCAAAGAGGGCATTACATGGTTTTACCATCCATGTCTCGGGATATCTCGGGTCCTTTTCGGAATAACGAGCGACACGGTACTTCATGGTACTTCCAATTGATATCACCGCCGGTGCAGCTCGTTTCGCCCCTTCCGGGCCGGTTTTGAGTGTGCCGGGCAGAACACCCGGGGGGAGGAAAGGCTCGTTTTGGGTGCCCTCGGCCGTGGTGAACCGCGCCACGCGCCACGCGCCAGGAAACCGGCCGATCTGAAGTGATTTCATGTGATTTCGGCCATGTGGCTTCGGGGCTCCCATTTCAGCATGTGTCAGACCTACCGAGGTTTCTCGGCACCGACACCTGGCCGGCCCATCCTATCTAACGAACCAACTGTCAGCTCTCATTGGGTCAGGTGTTCAGCTGGCCCTGTTTCTCCACGCCTTCATCCTTCATGACTTGCTTCCCATCGGGTAGGGAGTAGATGAACAGCTTCTGCCTGAAGGAAAACGCAGCAACGCCTTCTTCGGGCCAATCAGGTATAGAACCCCAAGGGAAACCAAATCAACCACAAATCCCCTGAGACCACTCAAGCGCCGGTGACGTCTCCCGAGCAGGTGGATGGCAGGGGCGCCCCCAAGTTCAGTCCTCTACTGCATTACTGCATTTGTGGGAAACTTTCGTTCCAGACCACCACGCCATTGGTCAAATTTTTTGGTGGCACGAGCGCAACTACAACACCTCCAAGAACCCAGGCTCTGCGGGGCAAGACTTCGGTCCAAATCAGAGGTACCTCATGGTACCTCAGGATACCTCGAACATGTGTACAGCATGCCTACAGCTGCGGGGCTCATGTGTTCTTCCAGTCAGGACTGTGGAACTTCATGGGTTCATCCCGACGAAAAAAGAGGGTCGAATGAGCCTCCAAGCAAGAATAAGCTTCAGCCCTGAAATGGACCTCTTTCATCATGTCCATCACGTTCTTTCTTCAGACCAAGTCGTCATCCGAAAGCATCCCCGAGTCGAAGTTCCCCTGAAAATTGCCGCTGAAGGAAGCACCATCTCCAAGTAAGGCGGTGTTTTCGCCGACACCGACACCCCAAGGGAGGCGACCCGTTGGAGTGCAGTTGGTGACTACCCTTGAAGGTTGAAATGGGCCTACAGCTACCCAAAACCATGTCAATGTGCGCCTTGAACACGAGGTCAAGAAACGTTCACAGAAACGATGCAACAACATGCCGTTGGGATATTGTCACAGCTCATGTCGGCAAGCACCTCAAAGTTTAAGTTTAAGTTATATGGCAAAATTGTTGCATCGCGATTTTATGGCTCTACAGTTTTACACTCTTTGGGCTTGCTTAATCCTGACCAACTGAAGACCAGTTACCGAATCGAAAAGAAGAACAATCATCTGCCACAAGCCAATTTGACCAAATGTCCAGTTGCTAGGGCCGCTAGGGGGTTCATTCCCTGTGTCATGGAGACTCCAAAAAACATCAGAAAAGACTCCCGCAACCTGGCCCAACGCTGCTGTGTTCCCCACCTGCTGCCCTCCACGGCTAGCTTCGTGCCATCGGGGCTGAAGACCATGGTGGTCGCGTGGCACTCAGGTGCGCGTGCTTGGCGTGAGGCTTTGCGAGCCGGCGTATCCGAAAGCCACATGTATACCAAGGGTCCTTGAAGGGGTGGTTAATGGACACCCCTCAACCTCTAGGGGCCATTTATTAGACACCCCAGCCCTGGGGCCGATTTCGGTCCACTTGCTGCGGGTACCACCACCGGAACCGGAACGGGCACTGCCAACGGTTCTTGCGGCAAAGGAGTGAATGCACAAGTTGAATCAAATGCCCCTTCGTTGATTCAATGTTGAACAGGCCTGTCACCAGGCGCAAACAAGGGATGGGTGACCGCACAAAGATCCAGAGTGCAGCTTGAGAAGGCTCACTAGAGAAATCGGCCATGTCCCATTTTCTACCCTCCTGGCCTCCTGAACCATCCTGTTCCTACACGGATTCTGTTCTTTCCTCTTCTACAGTCTTTTTACTACTTACATTCTTTCTTGGCGAACGTGAACGGACAACTTATCTGGATCCATTTCTCCCAGTGGGCCGCAGCGGAGGACCCTTGATGCCACCCAAGGGGCATCTTCGGGCTCCAGTTTCATCGACACCAGTTCCTCCGCCCAAGACCGATGCACGTGAAAACGGCACGTGTCGCGTGCGGCGCAAACGGGGGGACGGCTCAGCGAGCCGTTCCGTGCTCCTAGAGAAGAAGGGATGATCTGGCGACGAGTGGTTGGGTTGGACTTAGCTTACTGTAGTAGTACTGACGTCGAATAACGTCACTTCGGGTTTGATCTATATTGTGATCCTCTCAATTGCAGCAGTACAGCATGACCCTGTTTGGCCAGAGATTTGGCCAAACACAAAGGAAGTGAAGAACAAGTCAGCGTCATGAATTGGAGGCCCATCACAACCAAAGGTGGCCAATGCCAACGATGACACAAGTGTGAAAGCCAACCCTTCTCGTTGAGGGAACGTTCAACCAAAGATTTGGGCGTGCCCAAAATGCACAGACTTGACCAGACTACCTGGGAGGTCAACCTACATGGTGTTGAGACTCCAGGTTTTGACTCACAGCCATTTGGATCTGTTCAATGCACCAGCATTCGAGGATTCAGATTGGCTTGGCAATCAAACCCCTCTAAACTGAGCATGTCCCCGAAAAGGGAACACTTTGCACTCGGATTTCACTGACTTCAGCATTCCATCCCACATCCCCACATCGTGGCATCTCTTCGTCTTCGTGGTACCCGGCTGCCGGGGCCAGGGGTTGATCAAGCGTGTGCCCCCCAACAGCCAGCCTGACTGTGAACCAAGCATCTGTGTGGTCTGCCTTGTAGACGGTCAGCAACGGCCCGCAACCCACACAATACATAGATCCTCAGTCCCCCTTTTGGTTTGTGCTGCCTACACGCTATAGGGATCAAAACCATTCACATTCACAACCTGCTTTTGCCAGGCAGACTCCACCTCCAACAAGTCGGCGTCACTGGCCAGAGGCCATGTGACCACGTGTGCCCAACAGAAACCCCGTCTGCCCAACAGGTGCAGCCGTGGGAGGCGCTCAGCCAACCGGCTACCCCACCCCAAACTGCACTCCGAACTGCACCCCTCACTCTCACCCCAAAACTTTTAGAATGTGGTTTCATCTCAGCCCGTCCCAGTCTGACCCCGCCCGCGTGCAACTTGAACAATGTTCTGCGTCCACTGTCATCGCAACAGGATCAGGAAGGGGTTGTCCAAGCAAGTACCCCCAAACTATCCCAAACATAGCAAGCGCCAGGTGATTGCCATACATGGCAGTTTCAGTCGTGACAGGCACGATCTATTAGAGACATACCAGCGATCCCTGTGCACCGCGATCGCGGCTGGGAGTACTACAAAAGCTTTGCATGGCATGTTCTCACTGCCCGGAAGCGCACTGGTGGAGCGGAGCGGCTCGGCTTAAGCGCCGACAAACAGCACCCACACAACCGTCCTCCGTCTGAAACCACACTCCCTGTCCCCAAGCAACAAGCGCACGAAGGCACACAGACATAGAAAACAAACACCCACACAAACAAGCTTCCACACCGCACGCGAACGCCGCGACAGCCGCACCGCAGAACCCCCGTGACGTTTGTTCGGGGAAAACTCTGTTTTGCGTCGCACACACACGTGCCCTCCCACACACGTGGGCCCCCCAGCCTCGGCTGCCCGTCACGGCCTGGGGCTTAAGGTATGCACTTGTTTCTAATAGCTTCTTGTTACTAGTAAGGCACTTGTTACTAGTAGCGATGCACTTGTTTCTAATAACGCTTTGAAGGCTCCGAGGCTCCGTCCACCGAACTGGACATGTAAGGCCACATATATCCCTCCAACGGGACCTTGAACATGCCCCGCTCCGTGATGCTCCTGAGAGGGTCGAGTCGGTCCGGACGTGTTCGGCCGTGCCGGCCAGAACGAGGGTGGCCCAGTCTGGAAGCTCTATGGTGGGCGAAACTGGCCTAAATGTCCCTACTAGGAGTCGCAACAGTCAGGAGTTGGGTGGCTTGAGGATTCGGAGGGACACACAGCTCGTCGCAGGTAAGGAGACTGATCCTGATACTGAAGAAAGAACTCCAGCGGTTCTAGAGCTCCCAGACATGCGCAGTTCAAGCTGTTGGGGTGAAGATTCCGTGGGATGCCCGTGCGCACGACCTCGCACGACCTTGCCCAGAGATCACCTGGCCCCCTCCGGGCCAGATCACCTTCCAACCAGCAGAAGTCAACACGATTGATGTTGACCAACACGATTCATGTTCTTCAAACAGGGTTGGTGAACACGATTCAGGTTGACCAAAGCCCCCCCTGTTTGAAGTGAGAAACGTCTTCATGTGGCTTCTCATGGTCCATGATGAGTCAGGGCTCCTACGATTACAAAAGCAAGAAAGGGGACCCCAACGTTTCACCGAGGAGCTTCGGCTTCGCGATCGGTGTCGTTTCGGCTTCGCCACAGACGAGGTCCAAGCACTTCTGTCCAGGCGGTGTCCTCTCCTCTCCCCATCTCTGGTTCGCTGGTGGCGGGGTTCGCCACATCGTAGCCATGTGGCCCTGAAATATGTGATGTTCCTCCCTGCAAAGAAGAAAAAACGGAAAACCCCATCACTGCACCAGCCGAAGGCTGAGAATACATGGTTCAGGTATCCCAACCAAGTGATCATCGTTCCACCCTCCTTCACGTGGACCCCAACAATCCACACATTTTATGGTTCCAGCGGCCCCGTGGCAACGTCCAACTCTTTGATGGGGTGCTCTTTGATCTCGTTGTCTCCCGTGATAAAGACCTCGGAGCCAATGCGAAGAGGCCAAAGCGTGTCGAGGAAAGCAAAAATGACTCAGCCTGTGTGTCGCATGGATGTGTTTCTTGGCATCCTCTAAGATGGTTTACAAAGTGTTCTTGCGAAACATCCGGTCAGAACAACCTTGGAGGCTTAGCATGGACAAAACGTTCTGACTGGTCAAGAAAAGGCTCAGGTCAGGAGGGATGTTTCAATCTTCGCATGGGGTCACTTTGTCTCTGGGTGGCCTCGAGCTCTGCAAGGGCACGTTGCAGGATCAAGGGGCCACACTGCTTTGACCAGTGCCCGTGTCTAGCCAGGGCCAATGACAAGAAAGGACCTGGAAAGGGGTTATGAATTTCCCTCCAGGCCTGTACAAGCAGGAAAAAGCAGCTCAACAAAGAGCCCCATGCCAATCATGCCACCCTTGGGCTCGCAGCTCCCCAAAATCACTGCATCACGCAACCCAACAAGTTCCAAGCTGAATCTCTTTCTTCCTTCTCCAAGCTCCACGCGTCCGCCATCCATGCGTTCTCCCCGTTCCAACCACCCCCAACGCCCCTTCGCCCCACCGCGCATTTAATCCGCAGCGGAGCGACGTAGAGCTTCTCGCTGAGCCAGGCGCCGGACCTCGCGGACGCGTCCGGTCGGACTGGGTCCGGTCGTCGGGTCCGGTTCTACGCGGGTCGAACGGATGGATGTGGGCGATGTCTGGTGGGTGGTCTTGACGGTTGTTGATCTGGTCTGGATGTGGGCGATATCGGAACCCAAGAAATCTCGACAGCGAGTGTTTGAGCCCTGGTTCTTGTCATCTGCTGGGTCTTGCTGTCTTGCTGTCTGGGACGATTTGGGGCCGATGCCAGAGGCGGTTGGGAAAAACGCCATCGGCCGAGGGTGCCCTAAGTCAGGCCACAAGTGCCACAGAGGCAAAGGGACACTCTCCAGCACTCCCTGCAATGAATCTACTATTTGAGGAGGTAAAGGTGCTCACGCACTCCCCTTCCAGCATTCAAGGAAGCAAGGAAGGCGTGGAAGTTGAAAACCTACCGCATTGATCTACTTAGGAGGCAGGTCTTTTGGTACAGCAACTGTCCCCTCCATCTGGTCAGCACGACCTTCGTACCAAATCCAAATCATTCCTTTCATCCACACCCAGCTGCTGGGGCTTCATCTCCGCCGGAGCTTCCTCGATGGCCAACTTGAACTTCTCCGGGTCCACGTTCACCGTCGCCGGCTTCGTCTCCTGCGCGGTCCAGGGTCGAACCGGTGGTCGATTCAGACCACCCAAGACGCTCCGTGACAACAGCCCGACCTCCCGCTCCAGGGATTGGTTAGAAACCCCAGGCCCCCTTCATATGAGGGTCCGACCTTTTCCTATGAGGGTCCAGGGTAGCGTCTGGGCAGCTCTGTAAGGCCAACCAATCTGCCAAAGGCAGCTGGAAGACGGGCTTGGAAGCCATTGCTAACAACAGCCCATCCAGCTCTGTGCTTCAAATCTCCAGCCAGTTTGCAGCGGAAGCATTTCGGCACCAAACCTGGCAGTGGTGCAAAACACCTCCCCCCGGCCACTCCAACCCACCAAAGACTTGAAAAACGCGCCACGTCCACGCGTGGTCCTTCGGGGCCTCTGCCTTCGACTGCTCGGCCGCGGCGGAGGCTCCACAACCCATGACCTGAGTGGCGGTGGGTCTAGTTGTCCCCGGCTCGAGCTCCGCCACTCACCGCAGCACGGGGGCATGAGCGTTTTCTTGAAAGAAACTGGGGTGCCGGACGCTTGGTGTCTGATTCCAGAAAACAAGATGGAGAGGACTTGGTGTTGGGCTGGCTCGAGCCAAAAGCCTGCTCATGGCCCCCTAAACCTCCGATCATCTGTTAAGTGCCTTGGCAGGTCATGAGCACTCGGGGAAGCAGGTCCGATCGTCTAGGTCTCTAGCACTGCGTCCGGAACGACATGTAGGGGCCACAGTAAAAGACCCCGGCAGTTGAGATTTGTGACCACCAAAGTCCCTCCAACTCTCCAACCCTCCGCCTCTCTTTAAGAGTTCCAAGTTCCACCAACACCACCGCCGAAACGACCCATGGTGCAACGGAGCGTTTCGGAAAAAAGGCGCGTGGAAACGACCGGCTTCTGGAGGATCGAAACGAAGGACATTTTGAGACCTACAAATTATTACAAATTTGGAGAAAAAAACTATGGAAAACTTGTTGTACTGCTCCTGCCCTTCACCTCTTAAGAACGAAAACGGCTGCTGATGGAAGTCATCTGCGCCACCTGGACCCACCAAAACTGTAAATAAAGCCGTTGTCTCTATCTCCGTTTGCTCAGGTGGTGCTGGAGGTCTTCTTTCAACTGCAGCACCGACAACATCAATCAATAATGATTCTCATGCAATTACTTCAGCTTGCCCGGGCTCACGCCAAGAGATCTTTTCGCTGTTGCTGCCGCCTGCTGCTCCATAAGAAGGGCACGGAATGAATTGAGCCTTTTTGACAGAATCTGGATCAATCACCCTGAGAATCCGATCTGGTATAGTGAGTGGATTATGACTTCCGGGAGTCAAATGAGAAAGGGGAAGTTCTGCGAAAAAAGGATCGCACACCACGGGATGTTGCGAGCACCGCCGAACCGTCGGGAGGACCGAAGGGGCTCCTTCGAAGAAATGTCTCGCTTCGAACTCCAAAAGCGGACCTTGAGTGGATTGGTCGACCTCGAGTCGGGGAAAGGGTGGAACGGGTGGAATGATGTGGAAAGACTCTATGAGAGCTGATGCCAAGCTCTGCAATGCCACCACAAAGCCGCCATCGATGTTCCAAAGTCAGCGGGTCCACGCACGGCACTGTTCGAGTTACCGGGAGACTGAAGTGCCATCCAGTCAACTGGCCTACCTGGCAACTTGGAAGGGCCTCTTCTGAGGCACAGGCAATGGTATACTATAGAAGAGGCCCTTCCGTTGCCAAGGGTGGTCATAATCTCTCTCTCTCTCTCTCCCTCTCCATCACCATCTCGGGTGAGACTGACCGCGCATCACTAGTCACTAGCAAATAAGTGGCTCCATTGGTCTCATCAAGTTCTTCTGATAAAGGTGAGTTTTTCCGCATGTTCGTCTGCATCCACCAGTGCTTACAGCATTGTGCCCTTCCTTTGAAGCAGCAAAAGACAAGCTGAGCCACACATCATCGGTGTAGCTGAAAGTGCCAACTGCCAACCCTGCAGAGTTCGGAATCGAATCCGTTTGATTTGGGCCTTCCTCTGGTCTCCCTTTTCGAACGGAGGCCGTTACAGGCTCACCCCCCGTAGTGAAAGAACGGAAACGTCCATGAGAAGGTGAATCCAGTAGTGGTATGAGAAAAAGAATCACAACCACCCCAGGTGACCCTGGGTGTACATGCACCCTCTCCCCAAAGAAGCCAACAGAATCATCTTCACCTCTCCATGGGGATGCCTCATGGGGCCGATGGGGGTTACCCCCCTGCACTTCTGGACGGACTTTTGGGACTCAACGGTGGCAGTAGCTGCCGTGTTGCGCGAGTGCAGTCGCGCGGCGGAAGGAGTTCAGTCGCGCGGATGGGTGACCAAAGTCCGAGACCGTTTCAAAGCGGCAACGAAGCGACGCTTCGGAAGCTACGAACGGAGCAAGGACGCTACGAACGGAGCGATCGGACGCTACTGGGCTTACTACTAAAGTATAACAAGAAAGCTACTATATAGTAACAAGCTAGGCAACAAAGGACAAATGTCCCGCATCCTATTCCCTCGCTGCTCCATGCCTACTTTTAGGTCGCCTTTCCCTCTGGATCATACATATCAAATTCCAGACTGCTGATCTGCAGGACATGGCGCCAGCTGAAGCTGAAGCAGGGGCAACCCGCTGATGCAGACTGGATGAGCCCCTGTAAGCCTCGAAACCTCAAAACAGGTCTGGTGGGCGTTGCACCCGACCTGCACCGCAACAGGGTTGGTTCAAAGATTGTGCCACAAGCTCAGTGGTGGGAATAGACTAGTGGTTCGATGAGACCAGCCTTATCCTTCCCACATGAGGGGATTGTTCACCCCAGGATTCTGTCCTCGACTGGAGAAGAAAGAACCGTCCCTGCGAATCAGGGCGAAATGGGCTGGAGTCCGGTGATCTCCCAAGCGAAATCACTCCTGTCGCTTTCGTTCACCAGAGTCCAGCCCAAACGCCCCGGCTGATCTTCAGACTTTATTCCACGTGCCTCTCTCTACACTTGTTTGGCTCACGTTCCTTGATCGTTTTCGATCGCAGCGGTTGCGAGTGTATACTTTGGGTGTTTCGTGGCTTTCATCCTAGAATGATATGCTCAGCAAAAGCGCCCTTTTCTCAGAACAATTCTTCAGTTTTTGTTCCTAGGGATGATTCTTCATTGCAAACAGTGTCAAACATATATTTCCGTGCCATTCCTTGCCACATGTGTGCCGAGAGAGGACACGCCTTCGAGAAACAAATCTATCGGACAAGAGATGCTCAAAAGGCCTCTGGCGCTATCACCGCCTGATGCGCAGCGACGGAAGAAGCACCGTGTGTTGGTTCGCCTGTGGAAGAAGCACCGTGCCGCACGACTACCCTGGCAAATTCCGAGGGTACCTCCTGCCCACTGATGTAGGTTGATGTTCTCCTTCACGGTGACTCATTCACACAGAATGGATGATTGACTTCTTTAACCAGGCCGGCGGCGCGTGGTCTTTAACTAGCAGTGTCTGGTCACCTTGTGCTTCAACTCAGTCCAGTTGAACGAACCCCAGCACCCAAAAATCCCAAACAAACTCTGGGATTCTGCAGGGCCCTTCTCTTTCGTGACGCCGCGCAGATTCACACCAAGCCCCCTGGCACACCGTGCGAATCTCCCGCGGTGTCGGGCCCCCACCTGCCGTGATTCCGCAGAAAGCCGTGGCTGCTTCCGCCTCGGCAGCTTGCAGGCAAGGTGTGGCTCAGCCGGAGCAACGAACACCGAAAGCACCCGCTCTTTGGCAAGAGGATCAAGAAGACTCTTGAGGAATAAAATATAACAAGATGGAACCCACGAACCCGAATGCAAACACGTTCGACAAACTAATATGTCCAAATGACACTCTTGTAGGACACTCTTGCGGGACACTCTGTAGGACACTCTTGTAGCACACTCTTGTGGGTCACTCTTGTAGGAAACTCTTGTGGGACACTCTTGTAGGACACTCTTGTGGG